GTACTACTGAGGATTTGTTCATAAAGTCTTTTCCTATGCCGATGTCTTCAAGAGTTCTGCCTAACTTATCTTCCAGCAAATTTAGTGTTTCTTTTTTACTATTTAGATCTTTAATCCACTTGGATTTTAGTTTAGTGTATGGTGAAAGATAAGGGTCTAGTTTTAATCTTTGGCAGGTTGAAGTCCAGTTTTTCCAACACCATTTATTAAAGAGACTATCTTTTCTCCACTGAGATAGTTGGCTCCATTGTCAAAAATGAGGTAGCTGAGTATATCTGGAGTTGTTTCTGTATCTTCTAATCTATTCCATTGATATTCAGGTCTTTTTCTTTGCCACTGCATGCTGTTTTTATCACTGTGGCTTTGTAGTATAGTTTCAAGTTGGGGTTTGTGATACCTGCTGCCATGTCTCTGTTGCCTAGAATATTTTTGCTATTCTAGGTCTCTTCTGGTTCCAAATTGATTTTTGAATTATTTTCTCTAGTTCTGTGAAATATACTGTTGGAATTTCAATCGTGATTGCATTGAATCTGTATAGCAGTATTGGAAGTATGGCCATTTTTACTATATTGATTCTTCCTACCCAGGAGCAGGGGATATCTTTCCATTTTCTTATATCCTCTTCTATCTCTTTTTTCAGAATGCTGTAGTTTTCAGTGTAGAGGTCTTTTGCTTCTTTTGTTAGATTGATTCCTAGATACTTTTTTTTTCTGGATGCTATTGTAAAAGGAATTGTTTTCCTAATTTCTCGCTCAGTGAGTGTGTTATTTGTGTACAAGAAGGCTATTGATTTTTCAGTGTTGACCTTGTATCCAGCTACTCTGCTTATAGTGTCAATTAAGTCTAGAAGCCTTTTGGCAGGTGTTTTTTGGTTTTTTTGTTGTTGTTTGCTTGTTTGTTTTTGGCTCTTCTACGTAGAGTATCATATCATCAGCAAATAATGACAGTTTAAGGTCTTCCTTTCCTATCTTTATTACTTTCATTTCTTTCTCATGTGTAATTGCTGTGGTTAATGTTTCCAGAACTATATTTGAATAGGAGTGATGATAGTAGACATCCTTGTCTGATTTTAATGTGAAGGTTTTCAGTTTTTGACCACTTAATATGATGTTGGCTATTGGTTTTTCATAGATAGCCTTTATCAAGTTGAGATAAAGACCATTTATTCTAATTTTCTGTAGGGTTTTTATCATGAATGGGTGTTGAATTTTATCAAATGCTTTTTCTGCATTAATTGAGATGATCATATGATTTTTGTCCTTGACTCTGTTAATATAGTGTATTACATTTATTGATTTATGTATGTTGAACTATCCTTGCATTCCTGGAATAAATCTGACTTGGTCAGGGTGTATGATCTTCTTGATGACCCTCTATATTCTTATTCAGGATTTTCGCATCTATGTTCATTAAGGAGATTGGCCTGTAGCCCTCTTTTTTGGTTGGGTCTTCCCATGGTTTGGGAATCAAAGTAACACTTGCTTCCAGGAATGAATTTGGAACTGTTGCTTCTCTTTCAATTTCACTGAAAGGTTTGAAGAGTAAAGGCAGTAGTTCTTCTCTGAATGCCTTGTAAAATTCAGGAGTGAATCCATCAGGACCTAGGCTTTTCTTCACTGGTAAACATTTAATTACATTTTCAAAATTACTGATTGTAATTGGGGTTTTTAGAATTTTTTTTTATCTTCCTTATTCAAACTTGGTAATTCATAAGTATCAAGAAATCTGTCCGTTTCTTCTGTACTTTCCATTTTATTAGAGTATAGGTTTTCAAAGTAGATATAGGTGATCCTCTGGATTCCTGCTGGATCTGTTGTGACTTCACCTTTTTCATTCCAATTGCATGGATCTAAGCCTTTTCTTTCCTTTTTTGACAAGGTTGGCTAAGGGTTTATCAATTTTACTTATTCTTTCAAAAAACCAACTCTTCAATTCATTTATTTTCATTGATTTTTTTGTATCATTCTCTTAGTTTCCACTGCATTGATTTCTGCTCTGCTCTTTATAATTTATTCCCTTGTACAAGCTTTCAGTTTGTCTTGCTGTTCTTTTTCTAGGAGCCTAAGATTCATCTATTTGAGCTCACTCTGTTTTCCTAGTTTGGGCATTCACTGCTATGAATTTTCCATGTAGAACTGTTTTCACTGTGTCCCATAGATTCCTGTATGTTGTATTAGCATTTTCATTTATTTGTAAAACTATTTAATTTCTTCTGTGACCCATTGATTGTTCAGGAGAGTGTTGTTCAATTTCCATGTGTTTGTGAGGTTCTTATGCTTTCTTACGCTATTGATCTCCAGCTTAATTGCACTACGGTGTGATAATATACATGGGATAATTTCAATTACTTTACATTTATTAAAACCTGTTGTAGGAGCTAGTATGTGGTCTTTTTTGGAGAATCACCCTTGTGCACCTGAAAAGAATGTATATTCTGATTTTGTGGGGTGGAACACTCTGTAGAGGTCTATTAAGTCCATTTGTTCAAAACTTGGTTCAGTTTTAGTATTTCATTGTTGATTTTTTGTCTAGATGATCTGTCTATATGTGATAGTGGGGTCTTTAGGTCCCCCACTACAATTGTATTAGTGCTCATTTGGTTTTTCATGTCCCTAAATATTTGTTTTATACAGTGGGGGGCATTAATATTTGGTGCATGTATATTTATGATTCTCATCTCTTCCTCTTGGATTGTTCCCTTTACAAGGATGTAGTGGCCTTCTTTGTCTCTCTTAGTCAGTTTTGGTTTGAAATTTGCTTTGTCTGTGAATAAGATAGTTACCCCTGCTTTTTTCTGGCCTCCTGTCACACAGAGAACTGTTTCCATCCTTTCACTTTCAGTCTATGAGTTTCTTTTTGAATTAGGTGTGTTTCTTATATATAACATATTGTTGGATTTTGCTTCTTAATCCATTCTGCCAGCCTGTTTCTTTTAATTGGTGAATTGAGGCCATTGACATTGATGGTTATAACGGATACGTATTGACTTATCATTGTCATATTATTGTCCTGTTGTTGGCTCTTTTTAATTTTTTCCCCTCTCCCTTTAGTTTCTTGCCTTGCCTGTTTGATTTGCTCTGTTGGGCCTCATGGTGTTGTGACCTTCATTCTTTTTCCAGGATATTGCTTTAAAGTGTTTGTAGTGCTGGTTTGGTATTCATGAAGTTTCTCTGGTGTCTTTGTCATAAAAGATCTTATTTCTCCATCCATTTTAAAAGAGAGTTTTGCAGGATACATCAATCTAGGTTGGAGGTTGTTTTCTCTTAGGACTTGAAATCCTTCACTCCAGGCTCTCCTTGACTTGAAGTTTTGTGTTGAAAAGTCTGCTGTGATTCTGATGGGCTTTTCTTTGCATGTGATTTGTTTCTTTTCTCTTACTGCTTGTAGTATTTTGTTCTTCTGCTGGGTTTCTGGGATCTTGATTATTATATGTCTAGGTGTAGATTTTTTTTAATCATGGTTACTTGGAGTCCTATATGCCTCATTTATCTGTATGTCAAATTCTTCCTCTCTGTGTGGGAAATTTTCTGTCATTAATTCTGTGAACAGCTTTTTTAAATCACATGTATTTTCTCTGCTACTTCATGAGTTCCCATCAGTCTTATGTTATTCTTCTTTGCATCCTCTAGGAGTTGTTGGATCGATTTCTCATGATCCCTTTCTATTTTTAAGAGATCTCTCTTGTCATGGTCACTGAATGCAATCCTATCCTATATCTGAAATTCTATCTTTACATCATTTATCCTGCTGTGAGTGTTTTCAATAGAATTTTTAATCTCCTGGATATCTGTGTGAATCTCTTTCATGGAATCCATTTTTTTTTTCCTATGCTGGGCATTCATGGCTTCTATCACGGTCCTGAGTTCATCTATTTTTTTTTTGTCTGTTTCTGTTCTTGAGTCTCTAATCATGTCTTTCAATGTGCTCACCGTCTCTGTAGTTATCTGGGAAATTATTTTTGTTTTGAATTTTTCTAGAGCCTGATTGATCTGTTTTGTTACTTTCTGTGCTATGAGTTCAGGGTGTCTTGGTGTTTGATTGTCAGACTTTTACCCCTCATTTCCCCTAGAATTTGCCATTGGTGAACTAGAAATCTCTCTTTGTGCTTTGCTTAAGTATTTTCTCATTTTTATTTTTGTTGTTGGGCTGTCCTTAGTTTAATGCCTGGGTTAGTACTTTGATCTTCCTGATACAGCTGCTCTTTAGGTTTTCAGTCTGCAATGACTCAGAGACACTCTCATTTTCATAATAGAAAGGACAACTCATTAAATCAATCACAACCCTTTAGCCCAATTTATGCAATCAGCAACACAACAGCATCAAGCATAGCTTAGAAAATGACCATTTGTGGTAGTTATTAATCTATCGCCTTTAAACCATCTGAATTAAATCAAAATCTGGGAGCAGCCTAAAATATGCTTATAGTGAATAGTAATTAGTTCCTTTCCATTCTTCTATCTTCAAATAAAATTTTGAATAGCGTTCAAGGGACATATTCACCTTAAAAATAAAGTATGTTCCCAATGCCTGTGTTATGAATTTTGCCAAGCCAAATTATGCTAAATAAATTATAAAGTTAATCATAATATATTATCATATATATATATATATATATATACTAAATTATAAAAATTTTAATATGTTTAAAATATTGAATTCAATAAATATTTAAATTTGTTTAAAAAAGCATTGATTGAAAAATATTAAGGATTTACCTTTAAATCCTATTTTAGGAGAAGTGGTTAAACTCAGATTTGCAAATAGAATATGCTCTTGATGGGAAGGGGCCCACCTCAGTTTCTTAATGAATGTTATAATTTTAGAGCTTTCTAAAATTGTATGGTGCTTTCTGGCGTGTCTTCCTTGGTTCAGGTTCGCTCTGCCCTTGCACTGCGTTAGACCATTCACTTTTGATTTTTAGACCAGCCAGCTGGCAGGGGAATGAACATCTCCCACTCATTAGCTGCAAATCCACGGCACTGTGTCCTTTGTCCCTACAGGTGGATGCATGCACATGAAGTGTCCACGGCCCCAGTGCAGGCTCGAGTGGTGCTGGACCTGCGGCTGCGAGTGGAACCGCACCTGCATGGGTGACCACTGGTTCGATGTGTAGCAGGCACAGTGGAGCACACATTTGGCCACCTGTCCTATTGAAAACACAGAGTGTCGTGTCTTCATTTGCCCCTTCTCCTTCTCTCAAACATTTAATTTGTGCATGCACACATATGCACATGTACAAACTCAGGCTTCAAGTTCTTCCCAAAAATCACAAAAGCAAACTTACAGAAGCTCCTGGATCCCTTTCACTGCATCCATGAAAAACAGCAAAGTCAAGTCTGATTCCAGCAAGATGCATTTTCAGGCCCATGATCATGCAAGTACCACTGCACAAAATAGAGAGCAGCCCATGTGTTTTGAATGGATAGTTTTCCTTGCCTGAATTCAAGTCAGGCTGGTTCAGGATATGGAGCAATTTCTCAGGTTTAATTTCCTGCATTTTCCCTTTAGCAAATACTGTGCAGAAGACACTGGCAAGGTGGGAAGTAGTTTGAGAGGATTCTCACCAGTGATACTATGAAAGATTGACTGCTGTGAATGCTCAGAACTATGTTCATGGCTGTCAGAGCAATGTTCTTATTTAAATTTTCAGAGAGCATCTCTGCACAAAGAGCCCCAGGCAATAGTCAAGAATATTTGTTTACTACCAAGAATTCTATCTTGATAAATTGTGTCAATGAAATAGTGACTATGCACAAATCAGCTTGTCAACTAAGTGAAAAGTTACAAAAGTTAATTTGAGTGTTGAATATTGAAATTACAGAGAAGAAAGCAAAGTTTAATGTACTTCCATTCCATTTAATTATTTGCAACTTTATTAAGAAATTGTTTTCATGAAAATATTACAACATCTATAATTTGATTTTAAGTGTGTGTTTTACAGCTTGGGGATTAAGCTTATACATTTATAATCAATATAAATGTAATGGATAAAGTGCTATAAATGAGACATTTTTAGGCGTGATATTCATTGTTGACAAAAGTGCGGGTTATTAAACAGAATCTTTAAAGAGGAACATTTCCAGAGCTAAGTAAAAATACACTTGACCCTCTCCCGCAGGCACAGGTACCTTCTTCCCAAGGCTGCAGGGCCCTGCCCTCCCCACTACTACCTCCCAGAGTATTTCTGCAAACAAAGCTTTTTGCAGAGGTCAGTAAACCCAAACTAGAATATTCCTCAGGTTAACATACATTGAATTTGAGGGTGATCAAATTTTCAACTTTTTTTGAGACATTTGCAACACATCCCAAAAAATGCATTGGACACTGTGAAATGCATTTCTGCTGCACAGTGCACAGATGAGAAAGTGTAACCATTGCCTTTTGTTCTCACTAGCTGTGACTTCCTAGGACAATGGTGAGTGTGCTGAGATCATGCTGTGTGTCACTGGCACAGGGAGTCCCTTCTGCATCTGGAGACCTAGAAACTCTGAAATTGGTACCAGCCTCCCCTTTTAGACTTGCCAGCACAGGTCCTGGCTGGTGAAGGGATAACTTCAGGAATGTTCCAGGTCATGTTCCAAGGGCATTTATTTCTACTTTGCTAACCACCTCAGCTAATCCATGTATCCATGACTCCCGGCCATCCAAGAAACATTCTGCCCTCTTTTCCCCTCATGGGTACCACACTGGGGTAAGACGGGTTTCTGTGGCTGCCACATCACAACACCCTAATGTAGCTTCATCCTGTTAGAAAACTCAGCTGTTCCAATAGAGCCCCAGGCTGTCAGACTGGTCCAGAAACTGAAAAAATCATACAGAAATGATAGGATGTAGTTTCAGGAAAAGAAAAGGCACCAGACAAGAGCCCAGGTTTCACAAAGTACAGTGGATGTGCAGAGCCTGACCCCAATCAGGGCTTGAATTTGTGCCACTGACAATCTCTTGTTGCTGACCCAGTGTGGCTAATCAGGTGACACCCTATTGTCAGATGGAGGGGCCACCTCACCACATTTTGCATGAGCCATAGTGTGTTCTTAGTAAAGTGATTTTTCATATGGCCTCCTTTTAAATCTGCATGGTGTGTTGGATTTGTGAAGCCAAAACAAGGTTTGCTACTATGAGTTTCTGGTACCACAGAAATCCCTGGTGCTGTGTGGCTTCTGTCATAATCTTTTTCCTTTTGGTGATGGCCTTTTCCTTCCTTCCTACTTTCTTTCCTTCCTTCCTCCCTTCCTTCCTTCCTTCTTCCCTTCCTTTCTTCTTTCTTTTTTCAGAATAACATAGTGATTCCTAAAATAACTTTTTTTTAAAAAAGCCACTATATATGAACATGAATCACAGTATTGTGATCAAACAATATTATTTCAGCATGCACTGTGTAATAAAACATGAGTATATCAAAAATGCAAATAAAATCTTTGCAGAAAATTTTTTATTTTTCTCTAAAATCCATTAAATATCTGATGAATATGGTTAAGGTTGTATTCAAGTTGCCATTAAAAAGCATTAAAAGAGCTTTTGAATCTGTCTTTGAAGATGTGCTTTTGATGGATATTGGAGGCATGGGAGGGAATGCAAGTCATGTTGCCCCGTGGTTCCCCTCTCTTAAAGCCTGGCAGTCCTGTCTGATGACAAAATGACCCTTTTGTTTCTATTCCAAGGTTGAGATTAACCTTTGTTGTTTCTTTTTTTTTTTTCTTTTTCATGAAAGATCAAATTTTGAAAGAGCTCCAAGAAGCAACCCCTCACTCAGAAATTCAATATATTTTCTTGTCTTACTAGCAATCTTGTATAAGTACATATTTTAAAGAAAAGTCTGGGTTAGGAAGAACCATTCCTAAGGCTTTCCTGTGTGTTGTTTTGGAACAGGTCAGTGACTGGCTGCTCCCCCAGCATGGGGTCCCTTACAATGGACATGCATTGCTCACTTCACAGTACAGCCCTGCTGCAGCTGTCTGGAAGTAACTGTCTTAGAAGAGCTGTTCCAATGGCAGGCAAGAGATACTTAACTGAGGTACTCCAGGGCAGACACCACAGAGGTAGTCTGCATATCACTAGAGTGCTAGAGTGGAGAGACCATAGAGGAAGTGTGTGAGTATATGAGCTCTGGCTGCCATGGTTGGAACCATACACCATGACTTGTGTATGAACTTTGGGGATAAACACAGCCTACATCTCATAGGACAGATATGAGGCTTAGCTAGATTAATCTCCCTAAAGCCCTGAAACCTGTGCCTAGCACACAGGAAGTACTCCATGGTCATTAACTGTTCCTAATAAGTTTCCAGGGCAATGGAGACCACAGAAGACACTAGCAGGCACCACAAAGCAATGCTAAGTAATTGAATACAGAAGATATGTCTGAGTAGCATTCATAGATTGAGTGATTTCACGTGAGAGAATGGTGATGATTCACACTGAGTTTAAATGTTTTGGATTGTCTTTGGCATGGCTCCAGAGTTTTCCTATGGAGGTACTTGATAGATAGGTGTGTGTTATATATGCTGATGATGTCTACAGTGTGAATTAAAAGGTTGGTATTCTAAATAGAAACAAATGAACATAGGTGTGACATGTATTTAAAAAATAGCAGAATAAGAAGTAAAAACAATAATCAGTCAGGCTGGGGATTTAGCTCAGTGGCACTGCACTTGCCTTGCAAGCACAAGGTTATGAGTTCAATCCCTGGTACAAAAAAAAATCAATCATATGTGAACCATTGTACACTCTTACCAGGCCATTTTGGTTTTGTTTTGTTTTGTATCAGGGATTGAGCTCAGAACCGTATACTTTTGAGGCAGGCATGGAGCTGCTGAACTAAATCCCTGGCCCAGGCCATTTATAATAGCATAGAGAATACTGATGGCAGCTGCTTGAAGAAAATTTGATCTCAAAAACACTGAGCCTGGAGCCAGGGATTTAGCTTAGTGGTTCTGATGCCAGACCCGAGTTTGATCCGTGGTAGGAAAAAAAAAAAAAAAACAAACACTGAGCCTGATAGTTTGCCTGTGGGCTGTTCTTGGAGGCAATGGAAAGCTGGGCCTTCTCTAATTCTTCACAAGCAGAGGCAGTTTCTCCCTGTAGAAGACAGACTATCAGAGAGGTGTCTGAGAGGAAAGACATACTTCTTGGAGTTTCTGAGAGCAGAAAGCTGTTTCAACCTGTGTCAGAGTTCCACTATACCATCAGCCACAGCCAAGAGCCCATGTGGAAAAGAACTACACAGATGCACAAGCAACAGCCAGAGGCTCACCCCTATACCATTGATATATGCCTGGAGACATTAGCTAGAAGCCTGCACAGACAACAGGAACTGGGGTACACAGCCCCCAAAGTCCCACACACAAAACAGCTACATGGGGCTTCAGAGAGAGGCACACCAAGATACCATCCCAAGTGTGCACAGGCCCAAGCCAGAAGCCCTCCCAGACAACAGGTCAGCTCAAGGATATAGAAGGCCACCATTCTAAACTCAGGAATTGGTATGCTGGAGAGCAGCAAAGTAAAGGCTGTTTGGTGGCTTGCTGAGAATTGAAGACCACTGGGTGAGCAGAGTGACCTCAGCAAAGGCACAGCAAGCTGCAACTGTTGAAATGAGAAGACATGGAAATAAGTCTCAAAACCAGACTTCCAAATCAACTAAGGCAAGACCAAATGGCAATGAGATGGAACAATCTGACACTCAACCGCCTGGACTTCCTGAACAGGCAATGAAAGAGGAACTGGAAAAAATGAAATCAAATATTTCTCAGATAACAGCAGAGATTGTGCCCATAGTACAAGATATCCTAGGAAAAGACAATGGAAATCATAGTCCCAAGAAGCCCAGCAGAATGAATCCATCAGGCACAACAAGAAATTAAATGCAAAGGGGGAGAACCCAACAAAAAGAAAAAATCATGACAAGGATAAGTCAATGTATATCGGTTATAACCATCAACATTAATGGTCTCAATTAACCAATCAAAAGAAATAGACTAGCTGAATGAGTCAGGAAGCAAGATCCAACAATATGCTGCATGCAAGAAACACAAATTCATAAAGAAACTCATAGACTGAAAGTTAAAGGGTGGAAACAATATTCCATGTGACATGAACCCAAAAAACAGCAGGAGTACTATCTTCTTTGCAGATCAAGTGGATTTCAAACCAACATTTATTAAGAGAGACAAGAACGACACTGCATCCTTGTAAAGAAACAATCTAAGAGGAAGAAATGGCAATCATAAATATATATGCACGAAACATTTGTGTAACCAACTATATAAATCAAATACTAACAGACATGAAAAATCATATAAGCACAGTAGTGGGGTACCTCAGTTCCCCGCTGTCAAAAATAGGTCAACTCTATGCAAAATAAACAATGAATGAAATACTAGAACTCAAACTCTTGAACAAATGAAATTAACAGATGGTTACACAGTGTTCCACCCCACAAAATCAGAATACATGTTCTTTTTGGCTACACATGGATTGCTCTCCAAAATAAACCACATACTTGCTCCTGGAACATGTTTAAGTAAGTGCTAAGGAATTGAAATTACCCCCTGTATATTATCAGACCAAAATATGGTAAAATTGGAGAAAGATAGCAAAAGAAACTGCAAGAATTTCATAAACACATGGATATTGAACAACACATTTCTAAATGACCAGTGGGTGACAGAAGAAATTTAAGGAGAAATCAGACAGTTCCTACAATTTTTTTTTTCTCACTGAGTTTATTGGAACATTTTAGTACAGTTACATTCATTATTGGGATCTTGTACCTTTACATGACAGGTCTTGGTTCTCATTTTTTCCCCTTGTCCCCACCCTCCCTTCACCCCTTCCTCCCCTCCCCACCTTCAAACACTTTAACTCCATTTTTACATTTTCTCATATTTTTTCCTTTTCCCTTATTCCCCCTTCCCTATCCTTCTCACTGCCCCTATACCTTTGGTCCTTTTCTTCCTATTTCATGTTGCTAATTTTCCCCTGAGGATCTTGAGTACTATTTCAGTTTTTCACACCAGAGAAACTATTCAGTATTTGCATAAATGTGACTTATTTATTTCACTTAGGAGTATATCCTCAAAATGTACCCATTTACCTATGAATGAATCTACTTTCTCATTCTTTATGGGTGAGTAGTATTCCATTTTATAGAAAAATTACATCTTCTTTATCCAGTTTCCAACTGATGGGCAGTTGGGCTGTTTCCAAGTTTTAGCTATTACAAACTGTGCTGCTATAAACATGGGTGTGCATAAATCACTGTGGTATGATTCTTTTAATTCTTTTGGAAAGATACCCAACAGAGGGAGGCTGGGTCAAATGGAACCTCTAATCCTAGTTCTTTGAAGTATCTCCATATATTGACTTCCATAGTGATCGAACCAGGCTGCACTCCCACCAATAATGGAGAAGGGTTCCTTTCTCCCAACAAATGTGCCAACATTTGTTATTGTGTGATTTCTTGATAGCAGCCATTCTTTGTGGGGTGAGGTGAAATCTCAGTGCTGTTTTCATCTGCATCTCTCGAATGACCAGTGATGTGGAACATTTTGTCATATATTTACTTGCTGCTTTTATTTCTTTGTCTGAGAAATATCTGTTCATTTCAGATGTCCATTTTTGAATCGGGTCTTTATATTTGGGGGGGCTGGTTGTTTTGAGTTCTTTATATATTCTAGATAATAGTCCTTTGTCTGAGAAGCAGCTGGTAAAAAATTTTTCCCACATTGTAGGTTGTCTCTTAGTTCTGTTGATGGTTTCTTTCGCAGTGCAGAAGCTTTTTAATAAGATCAGATCCCAGTTGTTGATTCTTTGTGCTAGTTCCTGCGCTACTGAGGATTTGTTCATAGAGTCTTTTCCTATGCCAATGTCTTCCAGAGTTCTGCCTAACTTATCTTCCGGCAAGTTTAGTGTTTTTGTTTTTATATTTAGATCTTTAATCCTCTTGGATTTTAATTTAGTGCATGGTGAATGATAAGGGTCCAGTTTTAATCTTTTGCATGTTGAGATCCAGTTTTTCCAACACCATTTATTAAAGAGAGTATCTTTTCTTCACTGAGGATGCTCAGTTCCTTTATCAAAGATGAGATAGCTGAGTACATCTGGATTTGTTTTTGTGTCTTTCAATCTGTTCCACTCATCCTCAAGTCTGTTTCTTTGCCAATACCATGCTGTTTTTATCACAGTGGCTTTGTAGTATAGTTTCAAATTGGGAATTGTTATACCTGCTACCA